TACTATATATATATATATATATATATATATATATATATATATATATATATATATATATTAGTGTGTGTGTGTGTGTGTGTGTGTGTGTGTGTGTGTGTGTAAATTTTTTATTTTTTAAAAAATCATGTTATTAATTTATTCTAACATATTTATAAAGATCTTTAAAGTTTTTTATAACATGAAAATAGTTTTAAAAAATATCTGTATTACCATTTTGTATTTGGTATATTAAATAAAAAATGAAGTATGAAAAAATGATGTAATACCATATACACGTGTAAAATAATAGATAAATTAAATAAATTTTTGTGACCTAGCAAATTTTTTATTTTCTTTTGTCATGATGTTCTTAAATTTAAACAAATAAAATGATAGTAATAAAAGTCGAATAAGATAATTAGCGCACATATGGGATTAAACTATGGGAAACTGTTTTTATCATTTCTTTGTTTAAGCTTTATTTTTTTATTGTATGAAGCACTCATAAAGAACTTATGTTCCTAGGTGCATAAATCAATTAGTAACCGGGATAAATGTTAAGTTTAGGGGCCTCACTTTCAATTTCGATAAAATATTTTATCTATATCTTATAATTACTGGGTTCATTATGCGTTATGTTTAATATTTTTATTCTGAATTTTCATTTTCAAAATTTAATATTTATTTCTGTTCCCAATATTTCTTTCATTCCGTGCACTAGACCTGATGATCGTCTTATAATCTGTTTTATCATATAGAGCCGGTAAAGTTGTAATGCGATATTATGCGACCAATATATTCGCTGCTTTTGTCGAACTTTGTTTGCAGGTTGGCACGACTGACGCGCGACCGTTTTAGACCAACCGCTTTTCCAACCGCTTTCGTCGAACATTTTACTGACTCTGACCGCTCTTCGGAGTTTTGTGCTTTTATTGTTTGATCGGGTGACACCGAGGCAAAGGTGATACGAGCGTGGGCCGCATGACAACCGGCAGCTGACATCATCCAACGCGGAAGCGTCAAATTTGAAATGTAACGAATGACAAACTGGAAAGGAGTAGCTGACAAATACGTTGTTTTGCATACGCTTCATGCACGCTGATCTACCAGCATCGTCGGGATGAGCGCGACGCAGGACGAGGACGAGCGTAGGAAACGCTCGCTGGAGTCTGGCAGAGAAATGGCAAGCGGTTTTCCCTTTTTTTTTTCTCCATTTGTCATCGATGTCGTCTTTGTACTTTGCTATTGCCAGCTTGCTCCAACAATTGGAGCACATTCTTGTTTATATTATTGAATTTGCATTTTCTTTTCGCATTGATTGTGTAATTTTGTCATCCCTTATCATGGGGAAGGTTTTTGATCTACATCATATCTGAGTTAATATCTGAGAAAGGTCATATATTGATTTTGATTGCTGCAGTTGGAGAAGTATAAAGCGAAACGATCGAACCAAGGCAAGGATGCAAACGTGGAGCATATGGAAAGTGCTCAGTCTGATGATGAATCGCTGCATAATGAGAAGTCTATACTACACAAAGAATCTGGTGTAAGAAGAAACAAATAGTTTAGATATATAAATATTAATTAATGTAATAATCTATAGCAACTGTATTACATTTTTTTCTATTATCAGATAATTGAGGGAATCTGTTCGAGAGACATAACACACAGCAGCGTTAGTATAAGCGAGGGAGAGGCCGATGCTGATTTGGAGGGACTGGCTGGACGAGTCGCAGAACTAGAGGAATTACTACATGGGAAAGAAGCTATCGTTGGGGCCTTAAATGCAGAGATTGATCATTTACGAGCGGAGACATCCTCTCCAAACTCGTCGCAAAGTCAAAGCAGCAGTATACATGGAAGAGATATTATATCTTTGTATCATGTTAAAGTATGTTGCTTCTATCTGTAGATAATTCTTTGTTTTCTAATTGTTAAGTCATAGAACATGAATTAAAAATTACTACAATTTAATATTCTTTAAATCTATTAATAAATTTCTCTTTACTTCTTTGATATTGATATGAATACTTGTAATATTAACTCCAATAATAATCTCATTTTATTGCCTTTTATGAATGCAAAATAATTAACATTTTGAATAATATATTGTCTAATATGTTTTTTTTTTTTTACAAAATAGTTACAAGAGTTTGAAAAAGCAGTGAATCAACGCGACAACCTGATAGAGCATTTGACATCATCCTTAGAACAGGCATTAGCTGCCAGAGATTCTGTAACAGTGCAACTTAATGCCCTGAACTCTATGCAATTGGACAATCCTGTAATAAATAATGTGAATTTGCAGCAAAAGGTAAGTGACACACTTCATATTTTTATAGTATAGACTTATTAATAACCTTGCTAAAAATGTCAAATATTATTTCAAATGTTTCAGATTGAAGTTTTGGAATCGACAATAAGCGAACGGGATGCGTTAATCTGTCGATTAAACGTCCATTTGACTGATATGCGTAAGCATATGCAGACATTAGAGATGGAAAGAGAGACGCGAAACGCAGAAATCAATGATTACAAGATACAAATAAATAATCTAAATGAGCAAATTCGCCTTGGCGCCGCAGAGAAGAACTTGAACATCGACGAGACTTTGAAACAGCAGAAACAATATGAGGCACGCGTTGATAAAATCAAACAGGATATGCAACATATCTTAAACAAATTTACCACTGTGACAAACGCGAATGCAATGCGCCATCAGCAAGAATTGAAAGTAAGCACTCCATGGAGGATATTCTTTTTTTAATTAATTTTAAAAATAAAAATAAAAATTACCAATAGGCTCAATGTTAAAAACAACAGTAAAATAAAAAGTATAAGAGCCAAAAAAATAATGTAATTAATTCAAATTGATTATTGAATAAATTGAAATTGAGTAAACTCTAAAACAATGATCGATATAAATAATATAAATAACAAAAGTCGAAATGTTTATTCAATTTCAATATAAGCGATTTTATATTAAAGATGTTATTTTTTTGCCTTTATGCTGTTTATTTTAATTATAGTTTAAAAAATTTTAATTATTAAAATTTTTAATTTATTTCAATTAATGTAGATTAATTTTAGTCCTAGTTTAATTTATTCTTTATTTTTATAATTTAAAGAAAACTAAAAAAAAATAAC